ATCTATCTATCTATCTATCTATCTATCTATCTATCTATCTAAATTATAAATCTTTAGTAAGATCACAGCTGGAATATTGCATCCAGTTTTGGTCACCACATTACAAAAAAAAGATGTAGAGACTTTGGAAAAAGTGCAGAGAAGAGCAACGAAGATGATTTAAGAGCCTGGAAACAAAAACATGAAGAAAGGTTGCAAGAATCAGGTATGGCCAATCTAGAGAAAAGAAAGACTAAGGTGGACATGGTAGCAGTATTACAGTATTTTGAGGGGTTGCCACAAAGGGGAGGGGGGGGTCAACTTATTTCCCCAAAGCACCAGGAGACAAGAAACAATGGATGGAAACTAATAAGAGGGAGAAGCAATCTGGAACTAAAAGGAAATTTCCTGACAGTGAGAACAATTAATCAATGGAACTGCTTGCTTCCAGAAGTTGTGGGTGCTCCATCACTGGAGGTTTTTAAGAAGAGATTGGGCAACATTTCTCTGAAATAGGGTCTCCTGCTTGAACAGGGGGTTGGACTAGAAGACCTCCCAAGGTCCCTTCCAGCTCTACTCTGGCTTTCCAATTTCCACTCAGGCACTATTTTCAGTTCAACTAAGAGCTGCATTAATCCACTGGCTTTGAAGCTGCGTTTAGTCTTTGCAAAAGGAAGAAAGGCAAACTTTTATGAAACATCCACGCCTCTTTCTAGATAAATATGGATATTCACATACTTTTGTTAATAAAACAGAGGTGTGGGGGGGGGGGGGGGAAGGATGCCCGCCAGCTCTGCTCCCAGAGCAAACGACTCACCTCACGGCCGCCAACTTCACCGCCTTAAGCCGGAGCGGCTGTTCTTAGGTCATCGCTGCGCGCCGCGGCCTGCGCGTCCCCCCCCTTCCCCGCCCTCTCGCTACCATAGAGAAGGGACTTCCGCTCGGCCGGAGTGGGAGGAGAAGGAGGGGGCGTCGCCATGGCGGCCGGGGCCGAGCCGGCCAGCCGGCTGCGCCGACGAGGACCGAGATGAACCGCTGAGGCGGTAGGATGATCTCACGATACACCCGGAAGCCGGTGCCCCCCGACGTCCAGGGGATGTGAGTGACGTTCTCTTGGGCCAAACCCGAAGCGCGGGTCCCTCGGAGCCTTTCCAGGCGCTGCCAGCCCTTCCGGAGAAGCGGTCTTGCCTTCCAGGGAGCCCCGCGGCGGCCTGACGAGGCTCTTTTCGCCGCCTAAATTCTTCTGTGCTGTTCCCACGTTCTTTGGCTCGAGCGCTCCCGCGTCTTCTGCAAATTTCTCTAAGCTAAAGCCAAGCAAGCGGGCGCATCCTTGGGTGGGAAGGGAGGTCAGTCCAGTCTGGGGACTCGGGCCTGTGAGAGGAGTGAGCTCTGGGCTTCGTTGGGAAGTGCTCCAATCAATCAGAATCGAACTAGAAGGGACCTTGGAGGTCTTCTAGTCTAACCCCCAGCTCAAGCAGGAGAACCTATACTCTTTCAGGTTGCGGTGGCTGTCCAGTCTTTTCTTAAAAACGTCCAGTGATAGAATAGAATAGAATTAAATTTCTTTTATTGGCCAAGGGTGATTGGACACACAAGGAATTTGTCTTGGTGCAAATAGCACGAGCAGCAACTGCACTTAGACTTATATACCGCTTTATAGTGCTTTCTCTCAAAGCGGTTTACAGAGTCAGCCTATTGCCCCCAACAATTTGGGTCCTCATTTTACCCACCTCGGAAGGATGGAAGGCTGAGTCAACTTTGAGTCTGGTGAGATTCGATCTGCCAAATTGCAGTAGGAGTAGCTTGCAGTACTGCACTCTAACCACTGCGCCACCGAGGCTCCGTAATTGCTCTCAGGGTACATAAAAGAAAAGATACATTCATCAAGAGTCAAGAATCATCAGGTACAACACTTAATGATAGTCATAGGGTAGAATAAGCAATCAAATCATACTGGGAAACAGTCAATATAAATCATAAGGATACAAGTGACAAAGTTACAGTCATACAGTCACAAGTGGGAGGGGAGGGGTGATAAGGAGTGATGAGAAGATTAATAGTAATAGTAGTGCAGACTTTGTAAATAGTTGGACAATGTTGAGGGAATTATTTGTTTAGCAGGGTGATGGCGTTTGAGGAAAAACTGTCCTTGTATCTAGTTCTGGTGTGCAGTGCTCTATAGCGTTGTTTTGAGGGAAGGAGTTGAAACAGTTTATGTCCAGGATGTAAATATTTTCACAGCCCTCTTTTTGACTTGTGCAATATACAGATCCTCGACTGAAGGCAGGTTGGTAGTAATTATTTTTTCTGCAGTCCTAATAATTCTCTGAAGGTGATGAAGCACCTACAACTTCTTAAGGAAAGTTGTTCCACTGGTTAACTCTTAGGAAGTTTCTCCTTCATTCCATTTTGCTTCTCTCCTTGATTAGTTTTTTCATCCATTGTTTCTTGTTTTGCCTTCTGGTGCTTTGGAAAATAAGTTGACCCCCACTTTCTTGTTTGTAGCAGCCCCTCAAATACTGGAATACTGCTATCATCTCATCCCTAGTCCTTCTTTTCTCTAGACAGGACATACTCAAATTCTATAAATTATCCAGGCCTTTAATCGTCTTAGTTGCTCTTTGCACTTTTTCCAAAGTCTCAACATCTGTTTTGTAATGTGGTGATCAAAACTGGATGCAGTATTCCAGGTGTGGTCTTACCAAGGCTTTATAAAGCAGTACTAATACTTCATGTGATTTTGATTCTAGGCCTCTGTTTATACAACCAAGGATTGTATTAGCTTTTTGGGCTGCTGTTGCACACTGCTGGCTCATGTTCAAGCGATCGTCCACTAAGGCTTCAAGGTCCCTCTCACAGTTACTGTTTTTGAGCCTAGCTCTATACTTGTCCCTTTCTCCAGTTGTTGGCTCATTGCTCAAGTCTATCAAGATCCTTTTGGATCCTGAGCTTGTCCTCTGAGGTGTTTCAGTCTGTGTGTCCAGGGATAGAGTATTACCTTTCTCAGGACATCAAACAGACAGAAAAGCTTTTATGATTTTCATGAGGAGGGGAAATGCAGAGGGCCTTGTAGATTTCACACTTACAGTGGCATAAAAAGTTTGGATTTTTCTTTTATAATTTCAGGAAGGATTAAAACCAGGGCATTAAACCATGATTTGTTGAGGCAGGGTACATTGTTTACTGGGTTGCATTTTCATGATATGCAAAGAAAAGCAGAGAGTTCACAAGTTTAGTCATTTCTGGCTTTGTACAGCCATGATTAGTAACTGGATCCTCATCGCACCCTAAATCAAAAACGAGTACAGTACAAGTAGTCCTTGACTTACAACCATAATGAAGCCCAAAATATCTGCTGCTAAGCAAGACAGTTGCTAATAGTTTTGCCCCATTTTACGTCCTTTTTTATACAAATGTTAAGTGAATCATGCAGTTAAGTGAATCTGGCTTCCCCATCGACTGCTTGTTGGAAGCCAGCTGGGAAGGTTACAGATAGTGATCACTTGATTCCATTATGCTACACTGTCGTAAATACATGCCAGTTTCCAAGTATTTGAATTTTGATCATGTGACTATAATGATCCTGCAACCATCATAAGTGTGAAAACGAAGCATAAGTCCCTTTTTTTCCAGTACTGTTGTAACTTTAAATGAATCACTAAGGTATTGGTTGTAAGTGAGGACTATCTGTAATTTCCACCTTGGATCTCAACCAGATCTTTGTTCTTAATATATTTCAGGGAGGAGAGGCATGAAATAATGCTGCATTACATACATTTATATAACAGTGCTAGGACATCCATGGGTTTCTTGTTCAAATATACTAAGGATAAATTATATGTGGAAAAATACCGAAAATAATAGGAAAATTGGGACCTTGTAAGGCTACAGTAAATTTCTCTTGTCAGGATTGCATAGGCTGGTTGATTTGTCCACAGAGCTGGAGTGAATCTCAGCCTTTTCAGGTTCGTGAACTGTGGTTGGATCAGGGTGCTTTTAAGAGAGAGAATTGGTAAAAGGTTTGTGGCTTATAAACTGGGGATTTTCTGTTGAAGTTAATGAAAATACTATACACTTTCTAATAATTTTAATGCTATCTGTTTACTGATTTGAGGAAATTCAGTGTCACCAAGCAAATGACATTTTTATTTATTTTTAGTCGAGGACTTACAAAGAATACCTTAGAACATCATCCCCTGCCGGACTCATTGGATGACAGTTACCCATCCACTGAAAGTCAAGAAGATATTTCAAGGTATTGGGATATATCATTAATTGTGGTGGAGAGTTAGGAAAGAAAAAGTTAGAAAAGAAGCATTCTTATATCCATTTTTTTTTATTTTCCTTTTTTTAAACCTCTGTTCAAAAGCTATATCAAATAGCTGTGTTTGGAGATGATGCTAGGATCAAAAGAAACAAGCCATACTGTACAATCAGTGACTATATTTGGTCATGATGATAGAGCACAACCATTCTGGAAACGAACAATGAGTATTTGTACAAAGCAAAATAAGTTTTAAATAGACACATTATATAGCAGAAGCATGAACAACATTTTTTCATTCAATTTGTATGGCTGCCCAACTCACTGTCAGGAACTTTGGGCATTTACAAAGATAAAACATGTGTGGATATATAATGAAGGAGAGCAGGCAGGCAGGTGGTGGGGGGGGGGAGAGTGAAAGTAAGCAAGTCATTAGCTTAGAGTTGTTGCATTCCCACACTTCAAGTCCAATCCTCCCAAATTCCATTAATCCTTTTCTGACGCCAATTTAACTGCTGAAACTTTAGTTGGCCAGATTATTGTGTATAGGCTTGGGAGAAAAAAATCTGTGTTGCAACCTTACCAGTGATCCTGGCTCTTTGCATCTGACATTTTACACACAACAAATGCGCACACACACACACACACACAATTTCATTTGAAAAATTAAGTCATCAGTATGCATATTACTTTCTCTCAAGATTGATTTCCCTTTTTCTCTTCCCTCCAAAATATGCACTTTAGTGAGTCTGAAAGTACAAAAGAGTCAAACTATCGAGCAGGCAATGCAAACTCATGGTCTGCTTGTCAGAGCTTCACAGGCACCTCCACTGAAGACAGTTCAGTTTTTTCTTGGGGCTATGATGTGAGTATTGTCCTTTAACTTTAAATTACAGCAGTGGTTCTCAACCTTTTCTTTACCACAGACCCCCCTTTAAAGGCCTTTTGTGGCCACAGACCATGGCCACGGATCCCCATGACTTAACTCACATTTTAAATCATAATGAATGTAGTAGGTAGATATACGTGGCCTTAGGATAATGTTACAGGATCCAATCTGGGTCAGTCCCTGGGGCCAGAACTTTTGGGTTCTTTCTTGAGCCCATCAGGGAACTTCTCTCTAACAGAGTGTCTGCTCTTCTGTGTGTGGTATTTACAGTGCCTGTTGTATGTGGCTTTTTACATGTTGATTAGGGTGTGTAGATGGCTGGCTTTTAAGTCAATAGCTGTTGTTTGCTTGGTCATCCCCATCCCTTGACTTCTAAGTACTTGATAGGCTGGTGGTAAATCACCATTCCTATTGACTGTTTCCCAGGCTTCAGTCACTTTCCTGGCTGTTTTTGTGCTTGCTCGTCCAACAATCTTAGTAGCTGCAAAATTGGATGTGTGTCCTTGTTCATTAAATCACAACATTTCTTCAAGCCTTTGCAGACCTCCTGTAATGATATCACGCCCCCCCAGGGGTTTGTAGAATTATAACATTTGGTTGAATAAGGGTAGACTCTCCTAAGAATCGATGTATGCTTTCACATTTTGATCTTGAAGAATGAGCTTATGAATGAGTTTATAAGAGAACCTCTCCAAATTTTGAAATATTTCTGTTTTACAAAATCAAAACCAGAATTTAATGTCCTTGATAATTATTATAATTTCCAAGAGTAATTGTTTTATTTTTCATCCAATTTCCTTCTAAATATTTTTTTCTAATTTGGTAAACCTGAAGATTCTATTAAGCCTAGGATGCGTTGGTTTATTTTAGTTGATTTTATTTTAGACATCCCTGGAGAGGGTTTCTTTGGGATTTTCTAAGCAATTAATTTCATTTCTTGGATCAGTGTTTTTGCATAGCATTATAAAAAATAATTTTATCTATTGTAAAGGAAAAAAAAAAGCCTTCTGAGAACATGATTAATGTCATATATCTTCCCGACTATTTTTTTTGCCTTTTCCTCCCCAAGGAATTTGATAAGGCTGCTACCCGGCAAGTTCAGCAAATATTCAGGCACATTGATGAGCTCCTTTATGAACAAAAACCATGTTTATATGTTAGCCTAGAGGAGGAATGCGAACAATGGATGTCAAGGTTTCCTCACCTCAGGTATCTCAAATATAAATGACTACTACGTACTTTAGAGCACTGAAGAGCTACTCTGTTTATGTGTGTATTGTCCATTATGGCAGGCAATCTGCTTTTTTGTCTACTTCAACCCCTGCATACTTGCTGGATGTTTTTGAGGCATGCTTATTTTTATTTATTCATTTATTTTATTTATCAAACAAAAATTACAAATTCAAACAAAGAAAATAAAAATGCAACAGGGTCTATAGGCATGCCAGTGCATTTATGCATGCCTGTTAGGGCCGTCTTAAATATGGAGTGAGGTTAACCACAGAGATTAACTTAGAATTAAAACTCTGAAAGATAATGACTGAGACAACTGAAGCAGATAAGATATCCCAGACTTTGACAGCTCTGTTACAAAAACGGAATTTGTTTATAATTGATTTAGAGCACTTTACATTAAGTTTAGAGCTGTTGTTCGCATGGATGACATTACAGTTAAGCTTTAAAAAAGTCATTTACAGGTAAAGCATTACTATGTGCAATTTAGTATTCCATACCTAAGTCTGGCCACAAGCATTGCAGTTCTAAACTATCCAAATCAAAAATTTCAAGAATTGTAGCATAAGGTGTTCTGTTATGGGCAGAAAAACGCAAGACTTTTCTTTTAAAGTATTTCTGAACTCTCTTGATTGTATTAATGACCAATATGTGGGAAGAAATTCCAGAGGGTTGAATAGTGTTCAAGGATTGGCCTAATATATGTGTATAATTTTTTTAGAGCAGATCATGTTTAACAAGTTTATTCAAAGCAATTAATACTTCATAATTTTCTCTTTGACATCAGGATTGTGGGGAAGCAAATAATGATGCCAACTGACGAAGGCTATGGATGGTATATTAGTTCAGCGTGTAGCACTTTAACTTCATCAGGCATGAGTCCCATGCAAGAGAAAGATCCTAGTGAGTAAGTGCCTGCGATCATTAACTCTTCACAAGGATTACAGTTATTGTTTTTGACCAACTAAGCCCTTGTCAACTGCAGCAGAGAGTGGCCTTTTTAAAATTACAACCTTCTTTTCATTTTAAGAGGTGAATATTCAACCATTCAGTCCATTTCTATCTTGAGAAGTGTTCTGTACAAACCAGGGCTGTTGTTGTTTTTTGTTAAGTAAACAGCTGTAGCATTAATAATGCATTTATTCCGTGTACAAGGTATATTCCTAAGAAGCGTTGACATTATTGGTCTGGCTCTACAAAACCAGGAAAGGTCTTTGTGCCTACTTTCTATAGTAGAAGTTTTGAAATTGGAGATAATTTCACTAGAAGCTACATGAAAAAAAAAAAAAAAGATTCAGTTAACTCTTTACAAGTTGCTGCTCAGAGGGAAAAAGCTACTGCTTAATTTTCTGTTTAGATCTGAGCTCTGGACAATAATAGCAATAGCACTTAGACTTATATACCGCTTTACAGTGCTTTACAGCCCACTGTAAGCGGTTTACAGAGTCAGCATATTGCCCCCAACAATCTGGGTCCTCATTTTACCAACCTCAGAAGGATGGAAGGCTGAGTCAACCTTGAGCCTGGTGGGATTCGATCTGCCAAATTGCAGTAGGAGTAGCTTACAGTACTGCACAATAACCGCTGCGCCACTGCAGCTCTTTGACTCAATAACTCAAATATTGATAGACTGGTAGTTGTTACCATGCCAATGGATAATTAAATGTCATATACACAATAATATAGAAACAATGTATGCAACCTAATGAATTAATGAAGGTTCAGCATTGTAACCACCAGTTATTCTGACTCAGAATAATTATTTCAATCTCAGCAGAAATTTGGGCAGTCTGTTTATTTATCTTAATTAGATAAATTAAGAAAACTACATCTGAGGAAGGGAGAGTATAAAGTTGGACTAAGGATGGTGAAAGTATTTTGAGGGTGATATTGAATTGAATCTGTACATCCAGAGGTCCAATATTTTCAAAAAAGGTTATGAATATGAGGAGTCCTTGGTTTCTGAGCTTGGTGGTTTTCTTGCAGATGTTTCTTTACCTAAACTAGGTAGCATCACTAATGCTCATAAAGAGTGGGGTTTACTCTCAGTTTATATTCTAGTGGCCTTGCCCTGTCAGTGTTAGTGAGAGAGGTTTTAGAAATTCTTGGGTTGAGCTGTTTACTGTTGGCTTGTTTGGCAGGTTCTTGATAAGGGTGTTGTTTACTTGGTCTAATGTTAATCTTGGAGTTAATCTGAGCTCATCTAAGTGCTGATTGTTGGTGGGAATATGTTTTGATCTTTTTGTTCTCTTTTTGACTTGTTGATTCTCTTTTGCATAGTATGTAGACATTCTTTCTATCTATGTGTCTATTGATGTCAGAGTGCTGGGCTCCTAGAAATTCCCTAGCATTTTTGAACTTCGCCTGGTCTAGGATGGTCACAATTTCCCTATTGAAATCAAAGTTTTCATCATGTCTTCTGACTGCTAGTTGGTGTTCAAGGATGCATTCTGCCAGTCTTCTGCCTGTTTCTCCTATGTAGTAGCTGTTGCAATCATTACACTGTATGTTGTCAATAACTCCTGTTTGTTTTTTTTCTGTGACTGGTCTTTGGTTTGCTTAGGATGTTTTGAAGGGCTTTAGTTGGCCAAGCAAGCCAACAGTAAACAGCCCAACCAAAGAACCTCTAAGACAACCCTCACTTACACTGGCAGGGCAAGCCACTAGAATATAAACTGAGCACAAACCCCACTCCTCACTAGCACTGATGAGGTTACCTAGTTTGGGTAACAAAACGTCTGTAAGAAAACAGCCAAGCTCAGAGAATACCAAGGATCCCTCATTTCAACCCTGAACTACAGATATTCTTTTTTATTGGTTAGGCATATATTTTTTCTACTTTCATATTATGACTGCTTCTAAGATTTCCCTTCTCCAGTACAGTTAGAAAGGGAGAAGTAAGATCTTCCATATGTGAGAAGAATATAAACAGATTCCATTCTCTGTATCCCATTCAGGATTTAGTCATACAGAATTCTTAATACTGGAGGCTTTTGTGTAGAAGTAGTGCTCATTTCGTGATTGCAGTTGGTGCCAGCAAAATGGTCTCTAAGTGACATGGTCACTAAGCAAGCCACATGACAGGAAGACTGCAAAGATTACTAGTTGCTGCCAATTAGTTTTCTGTGTCATGCTCCTGACCCATTTTTTCCACTATTTTTGCTCCCTCTCACAGGACAGAAAGATTGCTTAAGCAAGTTATCTGTACCTGAGCTGCTTTTCTCCTGCAATACAGCACTTCCATAAAAAGCCATAACCTCAAGTTAACAAATTCAGCCCTTTTACCTTAATATTAGTTGATTAGAACTGTCCCTTGGACTCTGCTGCTTGAAACTGACCAGATCTTAATTCGTTTCACACTGAAGATCTTAATTCGTTTCACACGCTATTGATTGGAAAATGAGATCTTTATTATCATTTATTACTGTCATTTATGAATAGTCACTATCCAAGGCAGTTGCTGAATGAGGATGACCTGTACCTTGATTTTTGTTTTAAAAACTCTGTGGAACTACAATCTTTTGCTTATTTTAGAAACTAATTATGTGGTGCACACATTGAAGTAGATACACTGTATAAAATTTTCTGCTCTTCTTCCTTTTTTTCTATTGCCTCAAGTTTAAAGTTGTGACAGTGTACGCAAAGACAATATTTTTTAACCTGTAAGCTGCTTGAATGCCTTGTTCTACAAACAAAGCAGGGTATAAAAATTTAAGTACAAACAAACCACAGATTCTGTGCACATTTAATCTTAAAGAGAAGGAAGCCAACTTTATTATTGACATTAAAAAGCCTTGTTTGTTGTTCAGGTTTACTATCTGGGGCAAAAAGGTTCCCCTTTCGGTTTCTCTTGGTAAAGAAGACAACTTTTCAAAAATCTCTGAGCTGAAGATCTTTGAGACTGAAGAACTGGAAGATACCGTGATTATCTCTGAAGGAATAATGGAGGAATACTTAGCATTTGACCGCAGAGATGTGTAGGTATTGGATACATTTCACAACAACATATTTAGTGACTTTATAATGACCTAGAGCAGGGGTGTCCAACCTTGGCAACTTTAAGACTTGTGGACTTCAACTCCCAGAATTCCTCAGCCAAC